TATTTGTATATACATATGTATATTTATACATACATACATACATACATATATATATATATATGCATATACATACAGATTTTTGTATGTATATATATATATATATTCAGTTATTTGTTTTTCTTTATGTTTATCTTCTTCGACATTCTTGACTGATCCGGGTGCTCAGGTCGGAGAGCTCAAATCCTCCGGCATTGCCATCGTCGCCTCTCCCCCAGCGTTTGAAGCGGAAGCGTTGAAGGAATATACACCTTAAATTGTAAAAAAAAGGTCCTTACTATGATTTAGGGAAATGTTCCTTAAATTTTCAAGAGATCCTGACTGTGCTTTAGGGGAATTTTCCTCAATGAAGGAACATACCTTAAGTTATAAAGAGATCCTTACTATGATTTAGGGAATGCTCCTTAGTTAAGAGGTATGTTGGGCTCTTTGGGTTCCCGTTGCAGCGGCACACGCTTTCCTTGCCGCCGCTGTTGTAAGCGGAGGAACCGCACCGTCGGCTGATCTGGCCTAACTTGGGTCATAAACGGTTTTCGCACGCTTTGCTGGTTTAGGGTTTAGGGTTTAGGGTTCATGGCCACGCAGCAGATGGAGGATTGATGTAAAGCTCGCTCCTGGTGAGCGGATCCTGGTACCAAGTCATGGTAAGTTGAAACATGTCCTACAGTCCTCAAGTTGCTTTAGTCTTTTCTAGGTGAAGTAGGTTCCTACTGGTTAGAGCTCTATTGTTTCAACAAACCGCAACTAGAGATCTAGCTAGGCTTCTGAACTTGCTACCCAGAGAGCCCAATACCCCTCAGTTGAGGAATAGGCCTTACATTTCTAAAGGGATCCTCATGATGCTTGAAGTATATTCCTTACTGAAGGGTATTGGGCTCTTTGGGTAAGAGCCCGGGGTTTCCCAGGTTTTCCGTCAGCAGGCCGATCAAGTTGCGCGCCTGGGCATGCAGAGCAAGGATGCAGGATGATAGTTTGGGATGTTCCCCCGTATACTAACGGTCCTTACAAGGAGGGGACCCCTTACTAGACTAACTGTAGTTAAGGGACTTATAACCTAACTTAGGATCCTTATAACCTAATTTAGGGCCCTTATAACTCTAGTTCTAACTAGGGGGGCCCCTCCTTGTACTAGGGATTATCATGGGGTTACTATAATCCCTGTTAGTATAAGGGGGAACATCCCAAATGAGAGTGTTAACAGGATAAGCCCCTTGAAACCTAGAGGGGTACCCTTCTGATTCCTCGACTACGCCTCTAAACCCTATTTCAATTGGAACGATACAGAGAAGATCAGCTTGGCTCCTGCGCAAGGAGGACGCGCACAACGCGAGAAGTGTGCCGAAACCCTCATCTTAGACGGGTGGCGAAAAAAGATCACCCCTGAACCCAAAACCCCTAAACTCTTCACCTCAACCCTAAACCCGAACCCCTATACCCTAAACTCCTAAACCCTTAACCCTCAACCCATAGCCCTTCAGCAACATTGGGGTGGGGGCCTTGCAGGTGCTTGCGGCGATGGGATGGATGCATGCAGCGATGGTTTAACCGACAGCCAGGAGGAGGCGAGCTGACCACCGTTTGCTTGGGAGCCCGCCCCCAAGAAAGCAACAATGCCCATGCTGCCCTTATGAGGAAGATAGTTATTTATTCTTTTTTTTGTTCTTATATCCATTTTTGTTAGCTTATTTTTTTTTGGGAGGGGGTCCTGAGCAAATAGGGATCCACACAGGACAGGTGCTCAGTGCTGAAAGCTTCGTTCGTTAGGGTTTAAGGTTCACAACAAGGGTTTAGGTTTTTTTAAATGTACTTCGTCTGCCATAGAGGCCAACATGATGTCCGCGGCATCAATCTCTTTCGACCCTGCGGGTTTGGGGGAAGCACGTTGCGACCCGAACCCTAAACCCTAAACCCTAAACCCTAAACCCTAAACCCTAAACCCTAAACCCTAAACCCTAAACCCTAAACCCTAAACCCTAAACCTCAGCAGCCTTGAAGAGCAGGTGGCTGGCCCGCGCCCGAGCCACCTGAGTTCAGAAGCCGGACGTTTAGGGTTGAGGGTTTAGGGTTTGCAAAAGGGTTTAGGGTTGAGGGCTTAGGGTTTCGGGCCAACAGCTGCTTAAGGCGGTTTTGGGTTTTGGGGTTTGGAGTTCAGGGTTTAGGCTTTAGGGTTTCAGACAAACCCTAAACTCTCTTGAGGGCAGCCTTTACTGGCTTTAAGGGAAATGTACCTGAACTACTTGGCACACAAATTTGATTAAGATACGGGCCCTTCATAGGGTGTGGGTCTACACCCTCAAGTTGTAGCTAGATTCTGAGGCGATCTATTTTTTCTTTTGCTGTTTAGTGTTAGGGTGGAGGGTTGAGGCCTGACCAAACGCTTATGGTCCTTGCCAAAATGGGACTGCAATTAGAGGTGAGCCCTGAAACGACATAAAATCGCCGATGCCGCAACGCCAGGTTGATTTGGATTGATTACACCTAAGAGTTCGATGGGCCCTGCTTGGTTCATGGCACGTTTGAAACCAATTATAATGTACCTGTAATCCAATTATCATCATGTTAGGGCACATAAGGGGCTGTAAGTAGGCTACCAGTAGAGTCATAACTGGGTTACACTTACCACGAACCTCCAAGTACTCCTATATGAGGTAATTTCTAGGGGGGTCGGAATACTTGCAGACAGTAATTCCTCACGGTCCCAGAATATAGTTATACCAGAACATCCCTCAGAACCTTAGTCTAATTCGTAAGGCCCCTATATTACGGTCTTTCTTCGTGTTTCTGGTGAGTTGTATCTGTAGGGCTCCTCAGGATTTGGGATTTGGGGTGTGTGTGTGTGTGTGTGTGTGTTGAGTGTCCATTGGTGAATGTGTATGAGTTGAGTGTTTTTTTTAGGGGGTACCAGCAATTAAAACTAAAGCTACCTCGTGCAACCGTAGAAGTCTAAACAAAGTAAGGCCTCAAACAGACCCCGTTCAACTCATTCAAGTTGAAAAAAAACAACCCTCAAACCTAAAGCCTACACCCCAAACCCTATTAACCAAAACCCGAACCCCTAAACCCTAAACCCTATGGATAAAGCCTAAACCCTAAACCCTAAACCCTAAACCCTAAACCCTAAACCCTAAACCGATGCTTTGCCGGTTTTTTAACTTCACACTCCGAGCGAAGCCAAAAAAAACGACAAAACCCTAAATCCCGTAAAACCCCTTGGGGTTTTCCAAGTCCACCCCAGAACGAACCCAAAAACCTCCTAATTAAACCCGAAACCCCTGAACCCCCTTGGTGTTCTTCAACTGCACACCCCGGAACGAAGCGAAAAGCCTAAACCCTAAGCCCCTGAGCCCTGTTTTGGTTTTTCTAACCCCCCCAAACGCCAAACCCTAAACCCCAAACCCCAACCCCTAACCCCTAAACCTCGAAACCCCTAAACCCCTAAATCCCAAACCCTAGCCCCTAAACCCCTGAACCCCTACACCCCTAAACCCCTAAACCCTATACTCCCAGAACGGACAAAAAGGTTCTCCCTGCTGGTGGGGGACGCTGAGCCACTTCCCAAGTTCGAGGCACGCGGTTTAGGGTTTAGCTTTTTGTGGTTCTGTGTTCCAATTTAGCTACTTATACCTAGCCCTAAACCCTAAACCCTAAAGAAGTATATATTTTTGTCCAGGGTCTACTCCAAAGCAGGGGAGTGTTCAGGGTTTTCTAAGGGGCCTTCAAGGGATTTGTGCAGAGCTCCAGGGGGTCTCAATAGGCTTTTATGGAGTTTTATCGCTTCTTTTTCTTAATGTGGTTGGATAGGGCTTTCTATGGGGTTTATAGAAGGTTTTCCACGGTTTTATGGAGTTTTAATTTTTAGAGGGTTTCTATGGGGGCTTATACGGTTTGATGTTTTTGCTATGGAAGTGTTTAAATTGTTTTTGGTTTTTTGTCGTGTTTACAGGATCCATGCTACAGGGTTGATCGGCTTCGGGGGCTGAGGAATTAGGGATCTGGGTTTGGGTTCGGGTTCAGGGTACCAAGCACATCGCGATTTTCGGACAAACCTCTTGAGCTTTCTAGCTGTACCCTAGGTCCCAGTTAGGACTCTGGCTGATCTTATCCATAGTTTCCGTTCTTAACAGGATCTACCAGAGGGCCAACCGAGCAGCCTTGAAACCCAGGGACCTGGCCCGACCCCTGAGCCCCGAAGGGGTCCCGTTCCCACTCGCTAAGGTAGATTTTAAGAGCCCTTATGGCGTCTTCGAGCTTCCTGAACATGTCAAACAGCCAGATGTGCCGCATTGGAGCTTCAATGAACCACTGGGCTGCATTGTTTGAATTCGGCCAACATGGAAGCTCTAGGGCCATACGTGGAAGGAGCAGGGGGGCTGAGCGAGCTCTGCATCTCTGAAGACTGATCCATCTTCTTGTGGCCTCCACCATCTCTGCCCGCGAACCTGCGGCTCAAGAGTTTTGTCCCAAGGTGTCTCGGCACTCGGCAGGCATATGGTTTCCTGCCCCTCTTATGCGTCATGGACTTCGGTCATCACGGTCATCACCACGACGGCCGGATACTCCATGCAGGGCATTCCCACGACATGGAGGGTGTCTTTGTCATAGTTGGGTGACATGTTTACATTCTTAAGGGTACTTAAACCCAATAAGGAATACACACTTTACATGTGGAATACTCTCCCAACCATGAGAACTAGGTGTGGACATCTCCGAGGGTGACGCCGGCTTCGCCATGCTCATGACCCTTCTCGCCGGCCTGGCCACCACGATCGGCGCAGCCATTGCGTTCTGTGCCAACACCGACGACAAGCGCGTGTTTGCAATCTGCCTGGGCTTGGCTGCTGGGGTGATGGCGCATCTTATAGGGAACTTTGGGAATCATTCTTTTCTTTTTTGGGCACTGTAATTTCCTATTAGAGAATCAGCTATAAAGTCTTATTGTGTGTCTCTTTTGCTAGGGTTTCCAAGTTCAACGTAGGTATGTGTCCTTCTCAGAGATCTTGGACATGACGAACCAGAGCTTTCGGGATGCCAACCTCACTGAGCGGAGTGCTTTCACCTGGGGGGCAGTGACGGTCTTGGGAGGGATCGTCCCTTGGGGGCCAAAGGAAGCCTAGAAGGGCTTCATGGTTCCTTTTTCCTTAAAACTTAGTAGGGATTATAGCAATATAAGGGTATATGACCACCCAATTTTAAGGGTTCACGTGGTCCTTAAGGTCCTCGCTATGTTGGTGGACTGGATTGGCACCAAGATCTTCCACAGACATGTCGGCGAGACGGATGTTGTGATCACTGACGCGCCTGAGCCGGAAGCGAAGGATGGGGTCACCGACAAACCCCTCAGCGCCTCTGAGCGGTTGAATATGCTGCAGATGGCCGCGTACTCAGGGATTGCCGTCGCTTTGCACAACTTCCCCGAAGGCATCGCCACCTTCATTTCGACCATGGCCGATCCCAGCTTCGGGCCCGCCATGGCCTTCGCCATCGCCATGCATAATATCCCCGAAGGCCTGGCCGTGGCAGCGCCCATCAAAAAGGCTACTTGGAGGTTTATGGCACTTATGAACCAATCCGAACTGTACTGAGAACCCACATCCCAAAGAGCCCAATACCCCTTAGTTAAGGAGTATTCCTTAAATCATATAAAGGATCCCTTTGATAATTTAAGGTACATTCCTTAATTGTAAGGAGTATTGGGCTCTTTGGGTTATCAGCCCCTTGTAAGTGCCCTAACATGGCTCTAAGGCTACCGGCTCCCAGTGCAAAGCGTTTTTCTGGGCCTTCGTGTCTGGGCTCTCCGAGCCCCTGGGTGGGCTCTTAGGCTGGCTGGTCCTCAAGGACGTGCTCGGACCCGCAACCTACGGAATCTTCTACGGCCTAACCGCAGGCATCATGATCCACATCTCCTTCAAGAAGCTGCTGCCGACCGCCCTGAAGTACGACCCGAAGAATCGTTACACGTCGTACTCCTTCTTTGCCGGCATGGCCGTGATGGCAATCTCCTTGATCGCCTTTAAGTGGGCTTGATTTCGGCATCAGCACCCCCCTAGGCCTGTACCGGATTTTTGTGTAGAGGTGCTTTTCCTCTCCGGCACGAATACCACGAGGCTCCCAACATTGGGAAGTAGCCTTCTTTAGCTTCTTTTGCCCAGGATGATTTTCCCTGCGCCCTCGCGGCTCACCAAGGGAGTTCGCATGGCCGGCACATCTACAATCCGTATCGAAGAATGGGTTTAGGGTTTAGGGTTTAGGGTTTAGGGTTTAGGGTTTAGGGTTTTATGCAAATGTTTTTTTGAGTGGCAGGGCTTGCCACCTTTGCTTCCCTTCCTGAAGTCAAGCGGTAACCCGACACGGCAGGGTCTAGTCTGTGATGGGGTACCGAAGCAGCACAGTTTCCCCAAACCCCTAACCCTCAACCCTAAACCCTAAACGCCACACCCTAAACCCTAAACCCTAAACCCTAAACCCTAAACCCTAAACCCTAAACCCTAAACCCGAACCTCAGGTGGGCCGCGTGCCTCTGCCCTGCCCTGAGCCACAGCTCCAACCCTTCCCAGCCCAGTTGGGGGGGGGGTGCAGGGTTTACGTGGACTGGGAAGGGTTTAGGGTTCAGGGTTCAGGGTTCAGGGTTCAGGGTTTAGGGTTTAGGGTTTAAGGGAATTAAGGGTTCAGGGCACCAAACTCCAAACACTACCTTCAGCTGGGTTGTTGAGTAGCAGGATAACCCGAAAAATTGGTGGCCCGGTCGTGCGCATAAACCCTATAAGCCCTCCAAGATCGTCGACAGCCTCCTTGTAGGAATCACAGCATGTTTTTTCCTTGTTTGTATAGAGCCCAAAACCCTAGACCCTAAACCCAACGTGTAAACGTACACATTTGATTCCGGTTCCCAGAGAGCCGAATACTCCTTAATTAAGGAATATACCCTACAAATTATAAAAGGGATCCTTAATATGATTTAAGGAATCTTAAATTTTAAAGGGATCCTTAATATGATTTAAGCAATATTCCGTAATTCAGGGGTATTGGGCTCTTTGGGTTCTAAGGCAAGTATCGTCGAGGGTTTCAGGCCTTGTGGCTCTCGAGTTTTTTCTTTCGGGTTTGGGATGGGCTCTGGACTTGAAACCTTTTTTCCTTAGAGGTATTCGGCAATAGTTATATATATATATATCTATCTCTTTAGTTGTTGGGCACTTTAATTCCTAAGAAAGAGCCACAATTATAACTTTTGCTAGGGTTCCAAGTTCAGTATAGTTCAGCAACCCTTGAACGTGCAGTGTACTAGGGTGTTTCGGGTGCTGGGGTTTTGGTTTCAGGGTTTGTGTGGACCATGTCGCCCGCCAACCCCAGCTCCATTGCCCTGAACCGTGGACGCTGGGCATTCTGCAGAAGATGCTTGCGACAAACCCTTGAGTTTTGGTGCCGATGTTGGACCCACCCCTAAACCCTAAACCCTAAACCCTAAACCCTAAACCCTAAACCCTAAACCCCCCTAAACCCTAAACCACCCGAGCAGTTTCTTCAGGATCACATCGCAATGGCCGCTACTCCTCAAGAACGCCCTTCAGGGCTTGATGGTTTTGAAGATCTCCTTGCGTGAACAAGTTCGAGCCCTGCCCTTAAACCCCTGAGATTCAGAATATACCTTGTAAATCATATGAAAGATCCCTATATAACTCTTAAGGTACATGCCTTGCTTCAGGGTTATTGGGATCTCTGGGCCTGACGCATAGTGCCCTTCTGAGGACCAATCCTGTAGTAGCAGAAGCTGCAGATCGAAGCTGAAACTTGGGATGTTCTCCTTGGTTTAGGGTTTAGGGTTTAGGGTTTAGGGTTTAGGGTTTAGGGTTTAGGGTTTAGGGTTTACTGACAGTCCTTAATCGGGATTGTAGTATCCCCTATTCTAAGCCCTATGAAGGACTGCTAGTATAAGGGGGAACATCCCAAGCTGAAACCCTCAAAGCCAGAACTCCAGATTCATGTTTTCGCAGGAAAGCTGCAGTTTGGGGTTTGGGATTTAGGGTTTCGGGTTTTGGTTGACACAACCCACCAAAAGCCCTCAGTAGCTCCTACAGCCCCTAGCACACCAACATCTCGGAGGTATCAGATCAAAGTATCCAGAGCACCCAACCCCACAGACATCAACTGGCGAGACGCCTCGGCCTGAGGGGGGCCGCGAGGTCTCCGTCCCGGGAGTTTGTAGGTCTGAGGGTTTAGGGTTTAGGGAAGCTATAAGAGGGCCCCAATTTGAGTAATCTTGTTGGTTGCGGCTAGGACATGGGGTTCGATTGGAGCCTGCAAGCCTGTGATGATGTCGGTGCGTTTCGGTTTGAGTGTCCAGTGTGTGCCTTGGGCTCAACAATCCCAATAGGAAAACGATAAGGCTAGTGATCCCTAATCCCTAAACCCTAAACCCTAAACCCTAAACCCTAAACCAAACGGTACCTTTTAGGGCTTGCAGGTTGAGCCTAGGATCCAGGCTTCAAGGTTTGTAGGGAAGTGCCGAGGCCGCGGAAGCGCAGCGTGCAAAACACGTCGCTTTTCCCAGAGACTCCAAAACCCCTTGATGAAGGAATAACCCTTAAAAGCGAATAGGAACCCTAGTAGGATTTCAGGAATAACTCTTAAAAGTGAATAGTGAATAGGAACCCTAGTAGGATTTAAGGTTTGGGGGGGGTGGGGGGGGGGTCGGCGCTCTACCATGCTTTTGGCGTCTCTGCTGTGCCGAGTTTTCATGGGATATGGATGGCACCGATACGCTTCTGATACGCTTTGGGGCTGGTACCGATACGCTTCTGATACGCTCCTTTTTGCTTGTCGCTGACAGGCTTCTGAAATGCAGAGCAGCGTATCAGTAGCCACCGTTGGGCGTATCAGGAGCGCATCAGTCGCCACCGTTCGGCGTATCAGTAGCCACCGTTCGGCGTATCAGTAGCCACCGTTGGGCGTATCAGTAGCGTATCAGTTGCCACCGTTCGGCGTGTCTGTCGCCACCGTTGGGCGTAGCAGTAGCCATCATCGTTTCAGCGTATCAGTAGCCGCCCGGCAAGCCACGTAATCACCACAGCAAAGCATGGTAGAGCGCCCCCTCCCCCCCCCCAAGTTAAGGTAGATTCCTTAAAGAGTTTTTGGAGTCTTTGGGTTCAACATGTACGGTGGTGCCCGCGCACGCCGGACAGGCGACACTGAGGCCGCAGGAGGTCTGGGAGAGAGAGAAACACAGGGGCGGCCGCTTCGGCGCGTTGCGTGCGCAGGAAGGAAGGAGGGAAGCAGGCAAGGAGGGAAGGAGGGAAGGAGGGAAGGAGCGAATGGGGAAAATGAAGAGAGAGAGAGAGAGAGAGAGAGAGAGAGAGAGAGACAGAGAGCGAGACAGAGAGAGACAGAAGCTAGAATACTGTCTGCATAAGTCTGTGCAGCATCGACCACATACATGTGGTTTAGCACGCAACTGCACTCCTTCAAATGCCGCTGTAAATGGGCGCCACAGCCTTCTCAACCCGAAACCCTAAGCCCTACAACCTAAACCTCACTGCATGCCCCACCCCAGATCCATATACATTGAGCTGCGCTCGACCCTGCCGAGTCACAGGTGGGCAGAACTTATACCGAGTTTGTTGTACGGAAGCTGGCCACAATCGCCGAGAGCTGAGCTTGAACAAAGCTGCTTGGTTTTTCTCGTTTAGGGTTTAGGGTTTAGGGCTTAGGGTTTAGGGTTTATAGGGTTTAGGGTTTAACGTTTTGGGTATTTCTAAGGGGTTGATGGTTGAGGGCAAGGGTAACCTTTTGGAGGCTTAGGGTTTTGGGGCGTATACAGGGTTTAGGATGGTTGGCCTTGACGGTTACCCAAAGAGCCCAATACCCCTTAATTGAGGAATATTCCTGAAATCACATGAAGGATCCCTTGAAATAATTTAGGGTATATTCCAGTATATTCCTTAAACCCTAAACCCTAAACCCTAAACTGCCCTAAACCCTAAACCCTAAACCGGCTCTCTGGGTATAGGGTCTCGCGACCCACTTCAGGGGTTCCATGATGCCGATGATGCAGAGGTTCGCTAGGTGCAGGAATCCTGCAAGATTTGGTTGCGGGAGTATGCCAGAACCCGCCAACTTAGGGTTTAGGGTCTAGGGTTTAGGGTTTAGGGTTTAGGGTTTAGGGTTTAGAACCCTTTAGTTGGGACCTAGGTCTCGCTGCTTCTGATCTTGGCAGGTGCGGCTGTTTTGTCATGCCCACTTAAGAACCCAAAGAGCCCAATACACCTTAATTAAGGAAAATATTCCTTGCTTAATTAAATCATATTAAGGATCCCTTTATAATGTAAGGAATATTCCTTAAATCATATTAAGGATCCCTTTGTAATTTATAGGGTAGATTCCTTAATTAAGGAGTATTGGGCTCTCTGGGAAGCCCCCTGAACCTGCAAACCGTTTCTCAAACCTGTAGACTTGCCCAGGGACCCCACTACCCCTGGGTTAAGGAAGATTCCTTCGTGTGATCTAAGGTGTCTTCCACAGTTAAGGGTGTATTGGTCTCTTTGGGTTGCAGCCCCACTGTCAGCGATGGAAGGATTTGGAGGATCCAGGGTCGCGGATCTTATCAGCAAGGGGGTTTAGGCCTTGTAGCCCCCCTATGCCTATGCCGGCCTTCTTAAGGGGTCATGAGGATAAGAGGAAGCTTTTAACATTCCAGACCCTAAGCTTTGTCCGCCCAAACCACCCATGCCGTCGAGCTATCAACCCACAACCAACCTCCTCAAAGCCAAAACCCCTGCAGGACTTCAGCCTGCAATCCCTCAACCTAAACCCTAAACTCTGAACCCTAAACCCTAAACCCTAGACCTAAACCCCCAAACCCAAGTGGAAGACCTAACTTGCGACAGACAGGAAGTTTCGCTCCCTGGCGACGGGCGTACCGCCGAAAGTAGGCTCTATTCCCCCAGAAGCCGCCCCAGTTTAGGGTTTAGGGTTTGGGTTTAGTGTTTAGGGTTTAGGGTTTAGGGTTTAGCTGTACATAAAGCTTCCTTGGG